TCGAGATCTGTCATATCTAATGTCGTCCATTCCTGCTCATCACATTTTACACTTGACTTTGACACTACAATGAAGTCTGACTGTGTGAAGTTAAATAAAGATAAACTGCCCTTTCAGATCATAAACTCCACTAGTAACATTTGAACCTCTTATCGATAAATGAAAGTAGTTTTTCTCTGTCTTACCTTGACTCATGTCTGCAGAGAAGTTCTTGTCCTTTAACCTCTGTGTGTGTAGACTTACACTTCAGCTCAGCCTGTGCTTAATGCTTAATGACCCTGCAGGGGGACGGCCCCTATTTGTAGCATGTAAAACCTTATCTGGACACCCCCATCTGTCACTGCGGTCAACTCAGCCGTCTCTCAAATTTGCTTGGTCAAATGAGCAGTTCTTCATTTTTGGGTGCGCAATTTATAGCGCCTTTACGGTAATCGCTGAGAAGCGGCACTAACGCAAGAGTAAAATAATGCATGTTTTTTCTGCTTCATGCGATACAAATTATTTTTACCATAAGTTCTTAAAAAAACTAACACTGTTTGACTCAGTCCTAGTTTGACTACTACCAACAATAAAATGAAGTACTTTTACTGTATTTTTTCGGGTAATACTCTCAAATTCCCCTCCTGAGAACAAAATCATGCAACTTCTGCTATATTTGATGAGATAAAATGATTTGTAGCCATACATCCTTAATAAAAGTGATACTGTTGGACTCAGTACTTGTTAGACTACTACCACAAGTACAATCAAGTACTTTTACTGTGTACTTTTGAGTAATCCCCTGTCAAACTCCCCTCCTGAGTACAATAATTCATGTATTTGCTATATTTGATGACAGATAAAAGGATATTTTGCAATAAGTTCTTAATGAAATTGGTACTGTTGTATTCAGTACTACTTGGACTACTACCAAAAGTACAATCAAGTACTTTTACTGTGTACATTTTGAGTAATCCCCTGTCAAACTCCACCCCTGAGTACAATAATGCATGTTTTCTGCCATCTTTGACGAGAGATAAAATGATTTTGTACAATAAGTTCTTAATGAAATTCTTACTGTTGAACTCAGTACTACTTGGACTAGTAGCACAAGTACAATCAAGTACTTTTACTGTGTACTTTTTGAGTAATCCTTTGTCAAACTCCACCCCTGAGTACAATAATGCATGTTTTCTGCCATCTTTGATGAGAGATAAAATGATTTTTTGCAATAAGTTCTTAATGAAATTGGTACTGTTGGATTCAATACTACTTGGACTAGTAGCACAAGTACAATCAAGTACTTTTACTGTGTACCTTTTGAGTAATACTCGTTTAAAGTCCTTAATATCTAATAATAAAATAATACAATTCAATAACGTGCTTTAACCACCAGGTGTCCCTTTCTATCAGCTCTGCACCATTATGGTGTAAATACAATACACGAACCTATTGCACGAAATCATTTTATCTCTCATCAAAGATGGCAGAATACATTAAAGTGTGTACTCAGGACAGGAGTTTAAACGAGTATTACTTAAAAAGTACACGGTAAAAGTACTTGATTGTACTTGTGCTACTAGTCCAAGTAGTGCTGAATCCAACAGTGCCAATTTCATTAAGAACTTATTGCAAAACATCATTTTATCTCTCATCAAAGATGGCAGAAAACATGCATTATTGTACTCAGGGGTGGAGTTTGACAAAGGATTACTCAAAAAGTACACAGTAAAAGTACTTGATTGTAGCCTACGTGTGCTACTAGTCCAGTTAGTACTGAATCCAACAGTACTAATTTCACTAAGAATTTATTTCAAAAAATGATTGTATCTCTCATCAAAGATGGCAGAAAACATGCATTATTGTACTCTGGAGGGGAGTTTGACAGAGTATTACTCAAATAGTACACAGTAAAAGTACTTGATTGTATTTGTGGTAGTAGTCTAACATGTACTGAGTCCAACATTACCAATTGTATTAAGAACTTATAGCTAAAAATAATTGTATCCCTCATCAAATATCATTGATTGATTGATCAAATATGGCATAAGCACTTGTACTACCGTCAGCGCCGCTTCTCGGCGATTACCGTAAAGACGCTATTAATCGCGCACTCAAAAATGAAGCGCTGCTCATTTGACCAAGCAAATGCGAGAGACGGCTGAGTTGACCGCAGTCATCTGTCTATGATTTGTTACTATCTGTTACATCAGTAGTTCTGTTTTTAGACTTAAACAAATATTTTCTCTCTTTTATTTATTCGACCAAGGCCTTAAAGGTGGGGTAGGTAATTTTGGAGAAACCAGCTCGAGTGCGCTATAATTTGAAAATACACAACCGGAAAAAATCTGCCACTTCCTTACCGAGCCCCTCCTCCAACACACAGTACTACGGCTTCCACAGATGACATTTATTTTATGCATTTATTGTCAAAGCATTTAATATATTCATTGCTATCGGGATGTTAAGAGCATTCCATGGAATATAACAAAAAGTGTTTCTGAAATAAATGACCTACCCCACCTTTAAGGCTATTGTGATTCTTCTTTGGGAACAGAAGCTTAAAAACGTTACCAGAATCAAATCAAATAATGAGTAATGCACACTAAAAATAATTCCAGCCACATACATAATACATAATTATGCATTATAAAAAATATAAAACACTAAACACATGTACATGTGCCAGATAGACCATAGTAATTTTATTTCTGTAAAATAAATATAAACAATAATAATAACAACAATAACATTTTTTCATAAATTATTGATGTCATTCTTTGGAGCTGCAACATACTGTGAATTGGTATAATGATTCAACATTAACACAATGTTCCAACAACTGATACATGACATTATATAATGTAACACAGGAATTTACACATCATACAGTTAAAACTTGAATGCAACTGATTGTAGTCGTTTTTTTCTTATGCAAGGCACACACTTTTCTCAGATCACATGGTGAGTCTTTCACTTTTAAAATGTTCAGTTACTGAAGCATGCTATAGATAATGAAACCAAAGCCTCAATGTGCTGTTTCCTGATTAAATGCACATTTAAAAAGGTAAAACATTGTTTATTAGACTATGAGAGCCTATATTTAATCAAATGTGTCTGCAAAATGCGAGAGAAATCTCCCTGACACACAAAAGAAAGAGCTGAAAGACATTTCAACTGCTTTAGCACCAAAATAAAATCTGCGTCTAGGGAAATGAAACAGATTGCAACAAGTGTCTACAGTCTTTAAGGAATTATGTGTCTGTGGAATAAGGAAGTGAAGCTGTCGGATGACATCCTCATGTTACGGCAGTCTGTCTGGTCAGAGTCCAGAGGCGAGAAACCACACAATGTGATCTTAAAATAAAAACACAAGAAGAAAGAAAGAAAACAACAACCGTACTGACCCCACATTTGAATATTGAAACAATGAAAAAAATAAATGAAAGAAAGAAAGCTAGTAAGAAATAAAAAAACATGAATCTGCCATGTTTTAAAAAGATAGTGGCTTTGAAATTAAAATAACCAGAGGACAACATTATGACCTCAGTTTTTTTACGATCCTGTCACTTGTATACTGTACAATAAAAATCACAGACCTTCATTAATAACTCATTAAGAAACAGAAATCATATGAGAATAACTTTCTGTAATGGTCATTTACTTGAGGATGTAGCTGGGAAATGGGAAATGTAAGCATACGTGGACCCTTAAAGACAGTAAGTGGTACCTCAGCATGCACGTTAAAGCTTGTAGTCATAATGTGTGTGTCTGAGTGTGTATGCTAAATTATTTCAAAGTAGTTCAAATCCAGATGTGAAAGCACATGAGCAAGTGGTCTGTCCCTTCAAATAATTCTTTGAATACAGGACTACTGTAAGAATCTCAGAGCCAGACAGATACAAACCTGATACAAACATTTGTTTAAAACACAGCAGTAGTACATAAATAAACAGGAAACCTTTAACTGTAGGAGAAAACAAATATCCCTATATATATATATATATATATATTAGTGCTGTCAAAATTATCGCGTTAACGGCGGCAATTAATTTTTTGAATTAATTGCGTTAAAATATTTAACGCATTTAACGCATGTGCAGAATGGCCCGCCCCATACGTGCCACCAGTGGCAGCGCCAGGGTATGGCTGGGGTAGGCTACACCCATACCAAGAAATGGCTTAGCCCCACCATGAAAAATGATGTTAAAGTAAGCAAAATAAAGTCTGCCAACTCGCGCGGAGTAAATTGCACAGACAGCAGTTAGTAAGATTGATTTAAGTAGCCACGGTTTTGAAAACTTTTGTCACGTAGTGATCGTCTTCTCAATAGAACATCTTTGATAACGGCGTGGTGTTGTTGCAGGAAGTCCCGACGGAGAATACTTTTGCTGTAGTACAGGGGTGCACATAACTGGTACGCAGGTTATGTGTGTAATCTGAAATGCGTACCGTCACTTGTGTCACAAAGCGCATTTGCGTACCGACGTACTTGTGAAGCTTTTCCAGAAGGCGGTTAGATCACCGGACGACAGAGTCGGTCTCCGTGTGCACAGACAGGGCTGCTGTTAACGTCGGTCTGTACAACGGAATTGTGTCAAAACTACGCCAACCGGCTGCGGAGGGAGACTCCCCCCCTTCACTGGAGAACTGTGCTAAAACAGCTGATCACAACGTTCACACTCTGTGGTCAAGAAGTACTCCACGAGCCGCCGCCCCCCCCTCTGTCGACTTTCCTGAAGTACTCCCCCGTTGATAGAAATCAACACGTAATGAAATAAGACCCCACGGTTTGATGATTGATAGGTGTGTGGGTTGTCTTTCATTTTGACACGCAGAAAATGTTATAATAAACATAGATACTGTATGTTAAATGGATATACCCGCCTTCTTTCCATTCCCACAACAATATACATAAATAAATGGCATATTTTGGAAAATAGTTCGAATGGTGATTAATCATGATTAATTAATTTTTAAGCTGTGATTAATCTGATTAAAAATTGTAATCGTTTGACAGCCCTAATATATATATATATATATATATATATATATATATATATATTATTTCTACATATAACATCCATTTAGATTCTGCATATTGAATCCTTCTCCATTTATGGTAATCAGTTAAGTTCTGTATCTGCAGCGAGTGCTGGGCCTATTGCCAGGGGATAGCTCAGCAGTTGGACTCCATTAAGTTCCCCTCATGATCCTGTAACCAAAACAATGTAGTCCAGCTGTCAGGAGAATTATGTTATACAGCTGTTTCTCAAGCAGTGCTCTGGCAATACACCTGAAAGGGTCTCCCTCATGTGTGGTGATGCTGGTTCTCTGTTTGTGAACCAGCATTGTGCCATTTCTAGAAGATAATAAAGACAACGCTCTATGATCCCTGCTGTTAATAGTTGTTGGCTGTATAGCACAGAAGATCCCACAACATGGTGTGTGTGTATGTGTGTGTGTGTGCACCTCATGACCAATATTTCAACTACATCATCTTTTCGTGTGTGGTAATTTTAGACTGTGATATAAGACACATGAGACAACCACCTGTAAATGACTGCCATGTGATATCAGCAAACCAAACCTCAGTTGGTTCAATAAATCACTGAAAACTAAAAACCTTGTGACCAGACAAAGCTGGCAGCCGCGTGACTGTGGAGCATGAAATGTGTGTGTTCACTCTGCAGGGCAGCTGGAGGCTCTCCAACAGGACGGAGCAGCTTCAGAACACCGACAATCTGCAACAATATTCAAGGCACAATTTGATATTGCTACAGAGAATATTGATGAAAACAACAACAAAACAATAATAATAACAATACATTTGATGCTAAGCAAGGTTATCTAAGATGGCTGGATGATTGAATTCGACTTTTAAAATATTAATAATTCTAGCAATTAATATGAATAAATTCCCTTTAATGTAAATACTAGTAACTATGTTTAACTTTTCAAAGTGGAAATTAAGAATAGTAAAACTTGGATCTGTTTTATTTTCCTATACTTTCACTTTAAATGCATGTTAATTTAAGAACATTTTTACCTTTTGCAGGGAATCCAGGGTTAGACTTCCGTCGATTTTCCAATTGTAATGTCATCCTCCTGCAATGCAAGATATCAAATATTACTTTTTATACTTCAATATAATAAGATGTTAAAAAAACAAGCCTCATGATGTCTTGGTTAATAATACTATATCTGTTATACGTTGTTTGTCTTCTCAGTAGCATATTGTAGTATTTATGCTGAATTCTTGACACATATTTGGACCCTTTCAAAACCTCCTTCATTGCCTTCAGCCACTCTGAAATTAATGCACACTTTGCAAACTATTTCATGTTTTTATTTATTTCATTTAATTATTGCCAGTCCTGCACAATTTGTACACAAGCTACATCTCGTCCACTTTCCATAACAACACTGCACATATTCTTTTTTATTTTATCGTATTATTCTAAGTACTTTGCAATAGTATTCTGCATGTTTTTTAGTATATCCAGATTTTATGTTAATACTTTTCTATATCTTAACGTATAATAGTTTTAATTGTTTTTCAAGGGAAATTCCCCGTATGTGTTAACCGACTTGGCAATAAACCTGTTTCTGACTCTGATTCATTAGAGAAGCAACATGTGATTGAGAATACTTTGATATTCGACCCATTGTCTTCAGCTCACACATCAATTCAGAAGGTCTTCTTCATCTTGTTACTCCTTCACCTGTAGCTGAGCATTAGCCAGATGTGGAGGTTTGGGGGCGACACCTGGTTTCTTTCTTGTAATCGCTGGTGAGCTGTCTCCCCTCAGGCTGGGGGTCCGGCAAAGTTGTGGGTGGTGTACTGAACTCTGGGATACAACGGAGGAGGAGTCGTCCACTACCTCTGCATTAATGGCAGACACGCAGCTGCGGTCCGAGCTGCTGAAGACGTTGATGTGTTCTCCAGATGATGAGGTGCTGTCCACTGAAGCAGAAACAGGTACTTTAAAAAACAATCAGATTATGTTTATTCATTCAGATAGTTATTGAGCCAAGAAATCAGCTTCCAACAGACCCTTCTGTTATCAAAAAACAAAACAAAACGTACTTAGTAGGTGATTGCTTTTCCATTGTTCACAGTTACGATGAAGATGATACTGACGAAGGTGAAGATTGTTGATTTCATTTTCAGTCACAGCCTCAGGGGAAGAGTAGACAGAAAGACCGGTCTCCGCTCCCTGTGATTGGTTCCCGGGATAACCAGCTGGGGGTAGCGAGCCCCGTCCAGAGGAGGAAGATGATTGGCTTATAGTCGTGGAAGCGGTGCTGCCAGAGCCAATGGAGTGAGGTCGTGGATACTCTAAGCCCCTGTGTGAATAACACGCCACAGGGACTGATGACACACATGGATGGATGTCATCAATGAGAAAACAATGGGGTGGGTCAGTTAGTTACTGTTTTTTTAGGTAAACATAACAACAAAATGTAAAAGTAAAAACAAATGAAATCTCAAAACATTTTAAAGGTAAACACGACTCAATATCCACAGAATATACAGCTATGCAAGAGCTTAAAGTGAAATGCTAACATGCTCAAAATGTTAACATGCTAATGTTTAGGAAGTATAATGTTTACCATGTTCATCATTTTAGTTTAGCAACGTTAGCATGCTAACATTTGCTTATTAGCACAGCTGAGGCAGATGGGAATTTCATTAGTTTTGCAGGTATTTGGCCATAAATCAAATTTAAATGTTGACCTGATGATGGGGCTAGATGATACGTCAGGGTATCAACAAAGGTATTACAATTCATCCTGAGGGGAACATAATTGTTTGCATTACATTTTATGACAATCAAGCTGGCAGTTGAGATGTTTCACTAAAAACATGCATGTGAACCCAATGGTGACACTAAAGCAAATGTTGGGAATCCATCCAAATGCTGATATACTAGAGTCTGGTACTCTAAGTACTATCCAGACAACAGTTTTGGCAATTCAAAAGAAATGAATATAGCTGAAATATTATATTGCACGATAAATAACATAAATGATGAAATATATTGAAACCTGTAGATTGAGTGTGTATTATGAAATAAGTAGGATTGAACTTGTTAAAGTTGCAAAATGTTCTCTCTTTAGTCAAAAATATTCTGAAGCTTTCTAAAAATAAATGTTTGTGTGTGCAGCTTCTTACTTCTCCCAGGCAGGGCGCAGCTGACGGATCGATCACAGATGGCAGCATCGCTGGGTTGAATGTCCATAAAAGGTTTGCGGCCCATTCCCATGAAAACCCTCTCCTGCAAACGCAAATCTGAAACATATGAAATTTGTTTGTTTTAACCTGCGCAGCACTTAGTAAACTGTGCTAAGCTAAGTACTATTTAAATAAGATACAGTGTATGTTGTAGCTACTACCTCTGCTGTGGGCGGCCTGATCCCACAGAATCCTCTCCAGGTCGGTGGTCCAGGCTTTCTTCACCTCCATGCTGGGGGCCTTCAGGGTGTAGGTGTCCCCACTTTTCCTCCTGCGGAACCAGATCTCAAAACACAAACCACTCACACTGGAGTTGTGAGTCATCCCAATGTCGCTAGTCTGGGAGAGAAAACACAGAAAATACATTGGTAAAAATAATCAAGTGTGGTTGGATAATACTGCTTCACTAGGAAGCTTTGCACCAAAACTAACAAAAAACCAAGGAAGTAGAATGTAGTAGTGCATATCAAAATGAGGTTGAATATCAAGCATTTTGATAAAACAGGATGTGTGCTGACCTTGAATGACTGCTTGTAGACATAAACATCGTTGCCAATAACTGTCTTCTTAGTTTTGCTGAAGAGGATGAGATCTTCAAATAGAAAGATGCGGCGGACACATTTCTTCTTCCGGAAGAAAACATTGAACTCATCCTGGCGAATCAGCTGGCCCTGCTCCTTTAAATTCACCTGATAGCGCAGAGAAATGTACAGCAGAGCAGAAAAGAAAACATTTGTATTGAACTGCTGTGTTTCAAGTATGTTATATTTCATTGTATTATCTTACATCACAGTCCTGGATGGCGTCCATGGTGAGCAAATCGTTGCCATGACGCATTTGAAAGCGGACCAGATCTGCAGCAGCCTGGATCTCAGCTCTCTCTCGCTCCCTCTCCCTGCTCATCTGATCAGGCACATATGAACCCGGGCCGCTCACACTCTGTGGGCACATGCTGGAAGCGAGCAGTGAGTCCTGGATCATGTCTTTGGGCCTGTGTGAGCCAGACAGAGCCAGCATGTCCTGCAGCAGGAGGCTGTACTTGCTGATCCTCTGGATGGGCCTCAGCAGGTAGGAGGACAGGTCCATCATGTCCCCCAGCTCCTGCTGCTTCTTCTGCAGGGGGAAACAAAGTGTGAGTGTACATCTGTGAAGCATGGCAATAACACTCCCAGGGTGTGATGAAATGTATTACCTATTACAATTAGGGTTTAAGCACAGGACTACAGAAAAATGCCTTAAATGAATGCACACATGCCCGGGTTTGGGGGAAGCAAACATGAAATATAATAAATGAGACTTAAAGGTCCCCTATCATGCAAAATGCACTTTTTGATGTCTTTTATACATAAATATTTGTCCCCGGTGTGTCAGGAGACTCGCAAAAACAAACCCATCTCTCTTTTCCTCCTTACCCACATCTCTGAAAAAAACGGGGGTACAACCGAGCTGATCCAGAATTGCTGTGGTCATTATGTAATATCGGAAATGTGGGCTGGCTTTACACCCACGGCCCTATTAGAAACGTGGCTGTATCAGAAACATTGCGCGACACGTTTTGGAAGTTATATGCAAGCATCGCTAACACTCAGAGCTAACGCTGTAAGCTACGGACCCAGAATCAGCATTTCTCTAACAGGGCTGAAATAGAGGGATATGTGAGGCATTGCTAGAATGGGTGATCTGTTTGGTATTTTGAGCGAAACACTTCATAGACATGTTTTTTATATATCTGAGACCTATAATATATGCCTACAAATAGTATAATAGGAGACCTTTAAATTATTCTGCAGGAGATTTTGATGAAGTTTAGATGTTGTTAAACAAGGCTCAATCTACTTCAATTCATTAAGAATTTAACCTGCTGTTGGATTCTTCATACAATTGGTCATTTTATTGGACATTCGAGAAAAATAGGGCAGAAACTGACCTTGAAGATGTCATGGCGGCGGTGCAGGATCAGGGCGTCTGACAGTGGTTTGTTCTTGCTGTACAGAGCGTACAAGCCAAAGCTCTCACTCTGTGGAAGAGCCCCAGGTTAAACCATATTAGAAAATGTATGATATTAAAAAGCAGACAATTAACTCTTAGAAGCCACATATATATTCAATAATAAAACAGTATAGCATTGATCATCTGATTATTTGACTGAAATCCTGTAAGTGAAGTCTTCTAAATCTTGAGAGTAGGGTGGGATTACTTTTTATTAATTTCAAGACTCATTTCTTAAATTATTCAAATTAAATAATAATACTTGAATTAAAGCTGCAAGCAGCATTGAGCGGGTCTTCGACGCTCCGCAGGTTGTTGTCCGCACGTCGACGTGTCACGTATGTGTCTCAGGCCGAACGGACAACGTACATAGGAGTTACAGCATTATCATAAACATTGTGTTTGAAAAAAATTACTACAGAGACACAAAATCAATTATAAAGAGAAAAAATAAACTACAAAGAGAGCAGCACAATAAACTACAAAGAGACACAAAATGACTGCAAAAAACACACATTAATAAACAACAAAGAGAAAATAATAGAGACAAAAAAATTAACTACGGTCACTAGAGACAGAAAACCAAACAAAAGGACTTCAAAGAGACACAGCACGACTACAAAATGATTTTAACCTGTTGAGCCCTGAGCCTGTTTTTCAGGTCTCAGGCTCGAAAATGACATTCCCAGAACAAATGACCATATCTTCCCTTCTAAAAGGGTTAAATTAATCATCTTTGTTCTCAAAGTAATGATAAACCTGTGAGTTGGATGTAGAAAAGTCAGAATCAATATAGATGTTTTTTATTTTAAAGAAAATTCAAGATTGAACATAGTAAAAAACTGTAAATTATAGTGTCCGTCCAAAAGATATTTGTTACTTATAGTGAAAACTAGCCTTGGATGATGGTAAGGTAGGCTAAAAGCTTTAGGAATCCAAAGTAAAAGATATAATAAGTACCCTGTATCAAGATTGATGCAAAACAAGTGACATGTGACCTTTTTAGAGAGGTTTAGCAAAAAAAACTCCTTCGCGAATTCTTATCATAGAGTGATAATGTATGTAGTACCTATCGATTCTGTGTCATCTCACGATGCTAGTCGAAATGTTAGATGTGCAGTTAAGATAAGTAATAAGGGTGTTATGAGTGAGTTTCTGTGCAGTAATGCATTAATTGTGCTGCTAATTCAGAGGCTGAGCGTTAGCATTGTGGGTTTTTTTGAAAAAAAGGAAAAAAAAGATCAATTAGCTGAGTTTCTTCCCATTACATGGATATAAAACATTCATAGTTTATTAAATATTAAGATGCCCTCGGACGCTGTTTCCTGCAGATGACGCGTTTTTCCCCCGGTATCGGGGGGCGGTGTAGAACAGGTTTTAAAAGAGACACAACAAGAATACAAAGAGACACAAAGACTTGAATAATAATACAATTACACAAAAATAACAATTATAATAGTAAATAATTTTGACCTGTTTCTAAATGTTTTATAAGGTGTTATTTAATCCAATTGACCAATTGGTTTTATACTATGCTCTTCACAGGAATAAAACCGCTTTTATTTAATTATGTTGGTTTTGTAATTTCATTGTGAAAAGGTTTCAAAACATCTGAAAAACAGGAACTGAGGATAGATGTTCGACTCCCTTTTACTCGTTACTGGAATGAGTTTAAGAAATCTGTGTGGGTTAACAAAGGTTCAACGCTGCAGAGAGAGTTTAAAAATGACCAATGTTAGACTCAGAACCACTATGATAAGGGTCAAGATAACCACAAAGAGACATAATGACAACAAAAATCTACTTAAAATTAGTAAAGGGAGACACAACAATTAACTTAATATTATGACCAAGAGACAAAATGACAAAAAAATAAACTTAAAATGACAAAAAGAGACACAATGACAAGAAATAAACTTAAAATGACGACAAAGAGACACAGAATGAATATAAAGTGATGCATAAATGCATAAGAACTGTAAAGAGACTTAAAATAAACTATAAAGAGAAACAAGGACACAACATTACTGCTTTCAAAGAAACAAAACAAGACAAAAAACTAAAGAGAACAAAAACAAACTACATTGCAATGCTAATCACAAACACTAAATCAAGGACAAAATAAGGATGAATTCACGGTTTAATCCTCTTGTCATTGTCCTTTGTGTCGTCACATGTTTCCCATATTTTCACAGCTCTTCTACTTCTAATTTAGTATTATTGCACATATTTCAGAATCAGAAACAGGTGTATTGCCAGGTTCGTTTACACATGGGAAGGAATTTGATTTGGTGTTGAACAGGGACGTGCACAGACATTTGGAGGGGCTATTGCTCTAAACTGGAAAAAGGGCCTCCCCCCGAAAAAAAACGTAAGACCTTTTTTTAATGTAAAAGAAACCAAATGATTATTACATCAACTAAATTGAACAGTAATTCACATCTCATAACAAAATAAGCTAAGGCGACTACTTGCATTCGGTGACTTAATTTCAAAAATGAAAATCAGGGACATTTTTTGTTTTGCGGTCCATATCTCATTAAAATATCTAATGTTAGTAACTATTAAAGACAAAATGGGGACAATTCTGTTCTAATGTAGTTTGACCATTGTAACTGCTGTGCAGTCCAGACATACTGATAAAATAGGGCCTCTAACCAGGGGTTAAATTGGGCCGGGGCTGTTCGGGGCTGTTCGGGGCTGTCCGGGGCTCAGCCCCGGCACATAGGACGATGCTCTGACGTCATCGCCCTGGCTCATTTGTCATTTGTTTAAGCCATAATGTCAAAACATCTCTCGTTCTTAATATAGAATTTATTTAGGGTCGATATGTGTTGACTTTAAAATGTAAAATAGCAGATCTCTGTGACAGGATATAGTTTTTCCGCTTAGTGAACGTGTGTCTCTGCTCCGATCAGGAGCTGCAGCACCGTGGCTCCTTCATGCAGAGAGTCTGCAGCGGTGTGTGTGTGTGTGTGTGTGTGTGTGTGTGTGTGTGTGTGTGTGTGTGTGTGTGTGTGTGTGTGTGTGTGTGTGTGTGTGTGTGTGTGTGTGTGTGTGTGCAGTGGTCCCGCCAAACCCCCGACCCGTCTTGTAACACGGAGCCGTTTCCTACACCATCAGGGCCGGTTATAACCAATTTGCTGCTCTAGGCGAGATTTTAGCTGGCGCCCCCCCCCTGCCAGAAAATCGTTCAGTAGAACAAATAAAAGTATCCAAGGAATAAACAATAGAATATATAAAAAATAAATAAAAAATCTCTACAAAAGACCAATGCACTACAAAAACATAAACTTATTGACATAGGTCATATACATCAAAAAGGCTTCAAATGTATTCAGTATTATATGAGCATGTTTTAATTGGGGTGAGGACATCCCATCCTCTAGGGGGGTCCGGGGGTATGCCCCCCCGGGAAGAAATGTTTGAACATTTAAAGTAAAATGCTTCAATCTGGTGCACTTTGAGCACACATTACTAGAGACCTGATCTAGGGGGTACAACTCTAACGGCCCGTCCACACACAGCGTGCGTTGAAGCTTGCCGGCGGGCGTGTCTGAAACTCGACCAACAACTAATCACATGAATCTCCCGCCCCTGACATACAAGCAGCGGTTTGATTGGCTAGAGCTTGTACTGTCATATGATTCGATTGGCTGACGCTTCTGCCGTGGCTTCAAAACTTGAACATTGCTCAACTTTTGCAGCGAGCCACGCCAGCAAAGTGACGTCACCCCATTCAAATTGAATGGTGAAGCTTTCAACGCACGCCGCTGTGTGGACGGGCCGTAAAACACCCATATGAAAAAGATTGGTTTACATTTTAATAATCAAATAAGTATGTGAACATAACCAATAACCTACCATAGCCAATAGAAAATAAATGCAACTTATTTTATTTTTGTTGTTCATTCATATCTTATTTTACCTAGTTAACATTTATTTTTGCATATTTTTGTATCTCTCAAGTTTTAAATGATATTTTTGGTTTACTGTCCTATAGTATACATTGAAATGATTTCAAACCTGTTTACCCCAATAATTATAAAAGAGTGCCTTGGAAATATTTGTTTACATAAATTGCATTTATCTCTCTCGCTCGATCCCACACCCACTTTGGCTGTGAGCTGCGGGCGCCTGATAAGCCAACACCCCCCACTTTCATCACTTACAGCGCCCATCGTACAGGGCAAATGAAAAGTGTAACTGGGGTGAAAAGGGTGTTACCTTGACTTAATTATGAATGTTGTTATATCAAGGCCAAAAATTAGGATGAGCGCAAACAGTCAAAATGTTTGTTTCCCTCCCAGAGCTGCCAGCGCAGCCCCCCCCCCAAATCTGGTGCCCTAGGCAATCGCCTATGTCGCCTATGCCAAAAACCGGCCCTGACTTAACCTAACAGCTTATTTAATTTGTTTTCACAATTACTAATGTCATGTTTTTTTTTATTCTTGAAGAGAATGTATTTTTTTCTGGCATTCTTCCAGGATTAACAAAAATAAGAATAACATTGAGAACAATCTTTGAAGTAAATGGCTGTTGTTAAACGCTTCCCACATTTACTTCAATCGTACAATAGAAAAGATAAAAGTACCCAAGGAATACACAATAGAATATATAAAGAATAAATGAAAAATCTCTACAAAAGACCAATATACTACAAAAACAGAAACGTATTGACATGTTGGTAATATACATCAAAAAGGCTTCAAATGTATTCGGTATTGTATGAACATGTTTGAATTGGGGTGTGGACGTCACATCCTCTAGGGGGGTCCGGGGGTATGCCCCCCCGGGAAGAAATGTTTGAACATTTAAAGTAAAATGCTTCAATCTGGTGCACTTTGAGCACACATTACAAGAGACCTGACCTAGGGGGTACAACTCTAAACACCCATATGAAAAAGATTGGTTTACATTTTAATAATCAAATAAGTATGTGAACATAACCAATAACCTACCATAGCCAATAGAAAAATAAATGCAACTTATTTTATTTTTGTTATTCATTCATATCTTATTTTACCA